GATCAAAACCTCACCAGGCAAACAGATCCTATATCTCCACATACAGCATCTAGGACCCATGGTAGCAAGATGTGCACAAAAAAAGACTTAGGCAGCTGTGTTAGAACCATTCATTTACACTGGAATATTTTGAGGAATGGTACATAATGCATTTCAGAACTCCGACCCCAAGAAGTCAAGAAAGAAAAGCATTTATTCATCAACTTCCGTCCCTTTAGGATGAAGACTGATCCCACAGACTTATCTTCTAGTTTGTACAGGAATGATTTTAAGTGTGTTCTAATGAGAGATCCAGTCTGAGCATTAGAGAAGTCTTAGGGCAGGAAAAATAGCAAAGGCATAGGCCTGAAGCAGAGTACTCACCAGCATGAAACTTGTTCCAGCCCAGGTAGAACTGGATGCAGTAACATAATCTGGAGTACAAATTGGACTATAAGGAATATAATTTAGTCTCCCTCTTCTGCAGTAGAACCAGTCCATGATAGAGTCTCTTCAAAAAGTGTATCCGTATGGGTTATGGTCATTTATGAGACCAAAACACCTGACCAGAACAACTTAGAGGTGGGGAAAAGTTGACTTTTTTTTTTTTTTTGAGATCCTGGTTTCAGAGGTTCAGTCCACTGATGGCCAGCTTCATATCTCTAGGCCCAAGATGAGGTGGAACATCATGAAAGAAGAGTACAGTGGAAGGTAACTTCTTGATTCATGGTAGCCAAGAAGGAGAGAGAGATATGGTGGTGGTGGTGGAGAGAGACAGAGACAGAAAGAGGGAGCGAGAGTAAGCAAAACATATACTTCAAAGAAATGACCACAGTGATCCACCTCTACCAGCCATGCCTGCCTTGAATTACCTCCCAGTACAGTAGTCCTTTCAAATATTAATCCATTGAATAAATTAATTTATTGATTATATTACAGCTCTCATAATATAATCATTTCATCTTATGTATTAACACAAGAGCTTTGGAGGACACCTCATATCTAAGGTGTAAAAATTCATTGTCACCAGGAAACTCTGCAAGGATTTATTAAAGAACGATTAGTGGAAAACTAACTTCCTGTTTACAGTGGCTGATTTTATAACCATAAATGATATTCTTCATCTGCCTCTCTTCCCACTTGCCTTGGTCCATCCCAGTTGCTCTAACAACACTATAGACTTGAAAGTTATAAATAATAGAAATTTATTTCCCTCAATTCTGGACCCTGGAGAGTCCAAGACTGAGTTGCTGCTCAGGGCTCACGTTCTGCATCCAACATTGCCCCTAGCTGCTGTGTCCTGACATGGGGGAATGGTAAAATGATTTGTTTGTCCCTTTTGACATCTGTTGTAATGACAAACACCATTCATGAGGGCAGAACATTCATGATTTGATTATTTATCCAAAGCTCCCACCTCTAATACTATCACCTTGGGGACATATGAATGTTGGAGTGACACATATACTCAGATTATAGTACTGCTTAGTAGGTTTCCTTATTCTCAGGGACACTTCAGATGTTCTATGTTCTTTGTGAGGTGAACCAAATCATCACCTTAAGAAGTCTGAATTCTCAGTGACTTTGATTTTGAACTGTGGTTGCTGGTTCTGTCAGTTCAACATGGACCACAGAAAAGCCATGTCATGCCCTGTATTCCAAATAAACTCCTTATACCTCTACTGTGAAGAAGTAACTATGGTTCCTCATTGTAATCAAGGTAAATTATAACTACCAGTGTTTAAGTAGTGGCGCATTGCTGCTTAAAATTTATTCCAAAAGATAGTGACTTACAAAAAATATTTTCTCATAGTGATTTAATCAGTATTTTGGTCAGAATTTTGGGTCAAGTTTGGCTGTGAGATACTTCTGCTCCAAGTGGTTCCAACTGAAAATACTCTGTTGTATTCAGACGATAAGTGCACTTGTCTACAGGTCCACAATCTGTGGCCTGGTTGAGGATAGTTAGAGACATGGGCCTGTCCGTCATGGTCTCAGACACTGAAAACAGATTCAGGATTTTGGCAGGTGAATGAACATGCCAGGTGCAGTAGTGATAGTAGACATACTTTTTTGGAGGCAGCAATATCTTCCCCCACCCCAGTCTGTTGAGAGCCATAGCCCAGTTGGAATGGCCCCTGGCATTTTGCCAGAAGTAATGGTTGAGAGGCGAGCCATTAAGATGATGCTGGATTTATTCAATCGAATATAGACCCCTGCTGTCCGCCTTGGGCGCCCACTACTTTGGAGTTCTCCCAGGAATTCCTGGGGAGTTCATGTTGGTTGGTGAAGTTCCAGTGTAGGGAGTTCCACTTGGGGTGGTGTGCCTGAGAGGGGCCACGTGGGTGGTGTTTGGGAGAGTTCCCGGGGAGTGTGCATGGAGTGCTGTTGGAGTTCAGGCAATAAAGTTTCCTGTTTGAACCTACAAGTGCCTCGTGGCGGCTCGGTTATTTGTGCCCAGCCAGACTGTGGCACCAATTTATATGCCGGCCAAAAAGAAGGCATATTGCTAACAGAAAATAAGAAGGCATATTGCTAACAGATTAAATAAGTGAGGCCATGCCCACAAGAACATGTTTATGACTCTGAGTACATATGCTGCATCAAAGTGTTTATGACCTTGGCTACATACTAAAAATAGCCCACCAGAAAGCTTGAGGAGAGAGCCTAACTATAATCATCTTGGGCCAACCCTACAGATCCCATTTATAAATGTCATTTGAAGTTCCTACATATTTCTAATCCAAATTTCTAAAACATAGAGCTTCTTGTTAGGATATCCATTACTGTTGGCCATAGCCTGGGATACCCCCAGTTCAAAGCCTTAGAGAAAGGTCTGAATGAAAAGAGTTTTCTTTTTAAAAAAGTGATGAACAGATAAAATATAAGGGTTCTAGGTAGAGGAGCAGCAAGTCAAGCAAGGATGCACTAGTACTGATACATCATGGAGAAGCTGTCAGGCTTATAGAAAAATGGAATATCCACTTAGTGATGTAACTAAAACACACTGTGGGATTGTTCACTGGCATTCAAGGTGTAGTATACAATTGATGAACGAACAGCCATTGCAGGCTGGCTAAATATATAGGCCTGGGAACCAAGGGATTAAAATAGAAATGTTCCCATGGACTCATTTGTGAATCTCTGATCCTCTAAACACTTCTTGAGTTCCTACTGGACCAGAGAGTTGATTATCAGGGTGGAGTTAGGCAGTATTTCTCCCAAGGGTCATAGTAAGTTTGCACTAAATTTAAATCTGTAGCTGCCATGTGGCTATGTTGTAAACTTCCTATTACACTAACCAGCAGGCAATGAACGAGGTTGTTTTACTGGCAGACTTAACTGACCATGATTTAAATGAGGAGATTGTGCATGATGCTACTCAAGGATTCATTGGGAGTCTTGTGTTATTTCTGTGGTCTGTTCAAATGTATTGGAAGCAAGCATAGCCTAAATGGAACATAGAATCAGATTTTTTTTTTTTTTGTCCCGTATGAATGCACAAGAAGAACTTCTGGCTAAGTATGAACAATTTAGAATGGGTAGAAGAGGGAAAGATCTTGAATATCAATTATGACCTGAAATCGATGGCAGTAATGAGGACTATCACTTAGACTTTCCTATACTAGATACATTAAAAAAATTATGACTAGCTGAACATTTGAAGAAGTCTTGAAGGAAAGAAGTGGATTTTCTGTGAAATATGAGGAGATCTGGGCAGAGAGAAAGGGGTCTTCACAGATGGTGTGGGTGTTCCAACCATCTCCCCATGTCTCTTACCCTTTCTACACATTCCAATGGCATCTTACAGCAAACATCAGAGACACCCTATCTGAGCATTTGCTTTCAACCCACATGTGGGCCAGGCCAGCAATGCTAGAGGGTCAATACTCCCAGTAGCAATCCCCATTCAGATATGAAAGGAAATGGAAGGCAAAAGCCCCCATCCTAAAGGACAGATTCCCAGGCAGATTTTATACTGTTTCCTAGAGTTAGCTCACGGGGCTGGGCTCACAAAATGATCTTCTGACTCTGTAACTTGGTTTTATTCTCTTCCCATCTTCTCTTTCCCTCTCTGCTACTCTGCTTTGTAGGATCACCTTCTTAGCAAATCCCTTAATCTCAAATCCTGGGCTCAGGACTGGAACCTCAGGAAACACAGTCTAAGAACCCCTGTGTTTATTTTAAATTACAGATAAAAGCAACAGTCCTGTAGCATTGTTGTCAGAAAAAATTGAGATCTAGGGGCTGGGAATGTAGTCAGTGGTAGAGCACTTGCCTAGCCTGCATGAAGCCATGGGTTCAATCCCCAGTACTGCCCCCTTATCCAAAAGAACCAAAGACAGAATAAATTGAGATTTAATTATTAAAAAGAATCATGGTACTGGTGACAATCATGAGAATACACACCACAAACCAGAGGACTTCAAAGAGTGCTTGGGTTTGAAACTTAAGATCAATTAATTGGTAGCTCTATAATTTTGAACAAGTTAAAAATCTCTCAGGGCCCTAGCTCTTTTAAATTGGGAGAAAATATTTGTGGAATATTTACTCCACATAAACTAGTGAACACTGTGCATGGAATATAGCAGACGTTTAGAAAATAATTTCCTTGCCTGCATTCATTGTGTACTAAGTGCCAAGTCCTTTTGTCATTTCCTGTAAATTAAAGTTCTCAACTATGGAACCTACTGTAAAAGCAACAAACTAATTCCTATGTGACTGCAAATACCTTTTCAGAAAACCAGACCTCAAAAAATATGTTCTTCCCAACTGGAGGTAAATATCATCATATTTCAAAAGAGGTAAAACACACTTGGAAAACTTGCAGAAGCTCTCCTTGGTAACATTTCTCCTTCAGGAACGGTTTGCAATTTCTGGAAAATTAGGCCAAATATATCCAAACCTTCCACAAGAGGTGCTCAGAATATCCCCTGGGCACCATCTAGTAACTGAATTGAGTCTGTGGTTTCCGTTTCCTGTGGAGAAGTTTGAAAACCTCTTCTGACTTTTGGCGTGCTTATACTCCATATCCAAGGGTCTGCTGGGAGGTGGGAGCTGGAGAAGAAGGAAAATCCCCAGGATTGTGGGAAGATGCTCATCAGAACTCATCACAGCTAAACTAAAGGACAACTGTTGGTACTGACCCTGACCAAGCCCTCCTTAAAGCAGCTTTTCTGCCTGTTCTAAAAGATCTCTGCTCCGGATTTTACCTAGATAAGGTAAGATCGCCAGCAGGGGTGGGAAGAGATTTACTAGGTTCAGTTAGTTTTTAAAATTACCCAGGAGGTCGAGGGAACCGGCAGCCTTAATACTATTTTTCTTCCTTTGCCATCTAAGGTTCTAACAGGGTTCATATTTGCAATTTAAGTTATCTTGTCTTCTCTGACACCTGATTAATCTGGTTTCACCTGCAATCTGACAGTTTGAAGAAATTTTCAATGTTTTCATGAGAAAGGGCAAGAATGAGATTAGAAATTAAATCTAGGTTACAATAAAGCTAAAATGTGTATTTGTTTCTATGTGTTTTGATCCTCTCTTGCATTGTTTTCTTTTATAAAAGTCATGGGCTCTACCAGCATTGGAGAAAATGCATCCCAGAGGTACACACAGGCTGAGTTGTAAATGGTAGAGCAGTAGTTATGTGTGTGGCTCAAACACTGTAAACATTCAAAGATGTGTCAGAGATCTGGCTCTTCTAAAAGCACTAAAGATGCTATCCAGATAGCACCTGGGAACAACATATAAAATACTATTATTAATATAGATACACATGCTATTAACCATGTAGTCCAAAACCTCAAAGTTGTTCTCTTAAATATGGGACTAAGGCCCCCAAATCTAGAACCTCTAAAGATATCTAAGCACACTTCTGGCTCTAGGTTTCCTAACATCTCTTTCAGAACTTTGTAAACAACTGCTATATTATAGAGGGAAGTAGAATGTAAATGGTCAAGAAGTAAATCAGGGAAGTTCCAACAAAGAATAACGGAAACCTGTTCTAAATTGCTCAATCAACCCTTTTTCAGAGGATGGTATCTCCCATACTGGTTTATCTGTGAAAAGTGAAAGAGTTTTGAAGAAAATGGATAACTGAGGAAGAAGGAAAGAAGGGAGGTTAAAGAGGTGAAACCATATAGCATTCCAATCAAATGAATGTGCATGACTTTTTACTTCTCCAGAGAAGGAGTAAACGTGGACCATCCGCTATGAGCTACATTTTGACATTTTTCCTATTTTCTTTGAACCCTGCTTTTTTTCTCAAAGAAGGAAACACCCGACTTCTTACTCTCATAATTTGCCAAAGGAATTTATCTAGACTACTTGGATACTGTTTAGAATGCTGAAAAATTGGGGGCAGTATGTTGTTAAATGAATGTTCTTAAATTTTTGTGTTTTCTTTTTGGTACTAGGACTTGAACCCATAGGTACTGAACCACTGAGCCACATCCCCAGCCCTTCTTTATATTTTTATAAAAAATACATTGAGACAGGGTCTTGCTGAGTTGATGCTCAGGGCCTTACTATGTTGCTGAGGTTGACTTTTAACTCAATCCTCCTACCTCAACCTCCCAAGCCCCTGGGATTACAGGTGTGCACCATTGCAACTGGCTGTTCTCAGAATTCAATGGCATAGATAATAAAGTATCTCTCTAATAACACAAGCATCTTTTCCTTGGTAAAGGTCTAGAGAACTTGGTGCTGACCTACATCAACACTATCAACAGTGGGGATTTGCCCTTCATGGAGAACAAAGTCCTGGCACTGCCCAGACAGAGAATGCAGCTGCAATAAAAAAGGTCCTTGCCCACTATGAAAAGCTGATGGGCCAGAAGGTGCAGCTGTCCAAAGAGACCCTCCAAGAGCTGCTGGACCTGCACAGGGCCAGTGAGAGAGAGGCCATAGAAATCTTCACAAAGAACTGTTTCAAGGATGAGGACCAAAGTTTCCAGAAGCAATTATAGGTAACTGTTTTTCTAGTTCATGGACATTAGGGTTAATAGAAAAGAAAGCTTTGCTCTGAAAGGTATAATAAAACCTGTTTAAGAAAAGCAATTCCTATTAGACTATAAAATGATGGTCACTTATGTGGCCACATTATCACTCTCATTCTGAAAACAAACAAATGTGTAAAAGTACTCTGGACTTTTAGCATCTGAAATTTTCAAATGTGCACACAACCTTTCCCATGTTACACCAATTGGCTAATTTGAATTGATTTAATTCCTTTAAAACATTGTATTTACAAAGTATTAAACACATTGCATTTACAAAGTATTGAGTACATCCCTTTATATCATTATATTTGCAAAGTATTCTTTTATTAATAAAGCAGAAAGAATTTCCCTTTGGATCAACTAAAGTATAATGTATCCAGGATTAATTTAGTCAGCTGACATCATTCCAGCTAATTATTCACTTCTACCTTCTCCTTGAGGGTGGAAAACACTGAAGTCAGAAATGATGGAAAAGTAGGCTGCATTTAAAACGAGAGCTTGAGGTTAGAGGTCTATGGTCATAAGATCACCTGTAAAGCAGAAATTGAAATAGAGGGGTTTCAGAAAATTTCACACCCGAAAGTAAATGTCATTTTTCTTTCTTCTTTTTTTTTGGGAGGTGGGGATGGGTGGGTACTGGGAATTGAACACAAGGGCACTCCACCACTGAGCCACATCCCCAGCCCTATTTTGTGTTTTATTTAGAGACAGGGTCTCATTGAGTTGCATAGTGTCTCGCTTTTGCTGAGGCTGGCTTTGAACTCCCTAACCTCCTGCCTCAGCCTCCCAAGCCACTGGCACACAGGCATGTGCCACTGTGCCCAGCTAAATATCATTTTTCATAGACTCTCAAGTCCTTGAAAGTTTTTCAGGAAGGACACAGTCTTGCTTATATTCCTTGAAGTTTCTTAAACAAAAATAATAGAGATTTGCTGTAAGATAAATTCCATAAGTACTGAGGTGTGGCTAATATCTCTGAGGGTTCCTGTCCCTTTGAAGACCCTATTAGATGAAAAGCAGAAAGACATTTGTAAGTGAATGAAGAAGCCTCTTCAGATCATTGCTCAGCTTTCTTCAGGATATTTTTGGTCCTCTGGAAGAAGTGGTGAAACAGGGGCTTTATTCTAAACAAGGAGGCCATAACCTCTACCTTCAGAAGACAGAGAATCTGAAGACAAAGTATCACAAGCAGTTCAGGAAAGGAATACAGGTATTCCTGGTTTTACCTATTAATTATGATAAATCCTGGGGCCCCTCTTTAACAAAAACCATTGAGAACAGAAGAAAGGACATGTGTATAGGAACAGAGATGAGATTGATGTCTCATCTGGCTCAGACTTACTCTGTCACTGAGCATGCCTGGGAATTATGTGCCTGGTATTTAGTTTCAAGTGTTTAAGAAAAGCAATTCCAACTGACTATAAAATGATGGTCACATTCCAGTGTTCAAACAGCATCAGCAGTTGTCTGCTTCCTTTTTTCTTTCCAAATCCTACTTCATTAGTGTGCTCCATTCTCCTGACTATTGGCTTCATTTTCAAGTAAACTTACCCACATGGCTACAAAGAGATACCGCTGGGTCTAAGTCTAACCCAAGTTTATAGCCCTGGTGACAGAACAGGTGTCTTTGCCAGCACCCATATCAGCCTTTATAACATTAAAGTCATAGTATTTTTCCTCCTTTGAACAAGTGGCCTTGGGTGCTCTGATTGGCTCAGCCAGGTTTGGGACCCCACCTGTGGAGAGGCTTGATGGACATCTCCATCAGGTGCAGGCAAAGCGCCTTTTAACAGGAAAAGATGTTTGATGGAAAAGGAATCATGATTTTATCATATTGCCAATCACCATTGCCAGGTTCTAACTACATGTTTTTGGGGTTCCTAGGCTGAGGAAGCTCTGCAAAAGTATTTAAAGTCCAAAGAGTCTGTGAGTAAAGCTGTTCTACAGACAGACCAGGCTCACAGCCAAGGAAAAGGAGATGGAAGGTGAGAAGAGAACAGAAGTAATGCAAAAAAGACAAGAAATGTCCAGAAATTTGAAATTCATGTGTCCTGGCCTAGCTGAGATGATTCACCTGAAGCAAGACAGACAAAGAACCTTCTTATCACCTCAGGTGGTATCTGAATATGGCAGGATCAGCTGCAGATGGTAATCTGGAAGGAAAAACAGTGGCAGGGAATTTTCTCTATGGGCTAGAACAATAATGAATGAGAACAGGAGGCCCAAGGGAGGGACAGAGCTGTCCTAGAAGGTTTATCTGTTTTTCCTTTCTCTTCAGAGGCACATGCAAAAGCAGAGGCTGCCAAGGCTGAAGCAGAAAGTGTGGAGGAGATTCGCAGGCATATGCGGCAAATGATGGAAGAGAAGGAGAGACTCCATCAGCAGCAACTAAGACAAATAGAGATAGAAAGAGCAAAGTGTCTGGCACAGCAACAGTTGGAGCAGGAACGTCATCTGGGGGTATTGATCAATTGTTGCATCTCAGGACCGTGTTTCTGTCCTTTCCCTATAAGGATAAGACCGTGAAAGAGTAGCCGGGGGGAGATTCAGACTACTAGGGTGGCTAAGGGCAGGGACTGTGTAGCCAGACAGCTGGGTGTGCATCCGAGTTCTACCTTTACCAAATGCATTGCTTAAGCAAGTTATCTGTGTCCTCTGTGCCTTTTCTTTTTGTCTAGAATGGAAATGGTGGTTACACATATTTTCTAAGGGTATTGTCATAATGAAATGCATTAGTATTTGCATTTAGAATGGTGTTTGGCATAGAGTAAGAATATGAATTTTAAGTATAAACCATGGTATTTCTGTCCCACAGTAACTTGCTTTTTCTATTAATTTGTTAATTACTCTGGACAATTCTTTGCTCTGATCATACTTTTTTATGTCAATTTCATATTTCAGTGTCTTTGCTCTTGTCCTTGCATCAGTCATATCTGGTTCTGATGGCCTTGAACTCAGTGCTTATTTCACCAAGTCCTTTATCATCACTCAATAAGCAGCAGTTCTTATTTCCCACGCACTGTACAAGCCCTCTGCATGCATTCGCTCATCTAATCTGTTTACCATCAAGCAGAACTGTTCTGTCCCCAGTTTATATGTGGTGAATGAAGCCCCAAGGAGATAACTAAAGGCCATTATCTCATAGTCTTCTGAGTGCCTTTCCAGTGAGTGGGATCTACAGCGTTGCTGCTACCGAAATCCTTTAGGGAATTCCTATGTGAGCCTCTGATGAGACAGACAATACCCCAACCTTCCCTCTGGCTTATCGGGGAACCTGCAGGTACCTGTTTTTTAGTAACTGCCCTAGAGTATTTGGGAGATGGCAGCTCTAACCTGAAGGCCATTATGGGCAAACTCTGGTGTTTGATCTCCTCAGTATTTTCTTGTATTTTTCCCTCCAAAGTGTGGTGACCTGGAACATGTCCTCATCTAAGGCTCAGATGCCTCCTGGCTGCATATCACTTAGACATTCTGTTTTTGTGTCAATTTTTCCTCTTACAAACACAGTTAATATTTTTCTAAAAATGAAAAATAAAGTTGGGAAAGAGGATTGAGGTCAAGATGTGACTAAGATTACTCAAAGAATTTGTGTAGTGTAAATGGGAAGGGAGTTTTAGGATGGAATTCTAGGGACAGCTATATTTCAGGGACTGAAACAATGTTTCTGGATGTAGATGAAGAGTAGTAGTGTGAATAACTTCAGAAGTAAGCTGGAGTAAGTGAATGGAGTGGGGAGATTCAGGGACTGTTTACTGTTCCTGTTGTTAAAGGAAATAAGGACAAATCAATAGTTTAGACAATCAGAATGAAGCGGACCTTACTTTTTGCTAAGTATTAGTGTGTCTATTTTTCACTTAGGAAGAAGCCGAAAAGCTCAAGTTGATGCATCAAGCTGAAATGTCAAGGTTTCAAGATCAGATCCAGCATATCCACAGAACAATGTCTGAGCCACAAGCTGCTCGATGTATCATACTCTAAAGTACATCAAAGCTTCCTTATTTCTTTTCGCTAAAGACACAAAGAAACAAGAAACTAAAGAACTTGGAACAATCAACATTTAAATAATCCCAAAGCTTTCTGCCTAGTCTTGTAATTTGTCTCTAGATATTGCAAGTCACCCAGGCGTCTAGGTATTGCAAATTATCACATGGGCTCAGTCAAATGGAATGGTACCCTGTTCAGCATCACTACTGCTTATGGTCATGTGCTGGATGCCATCACAGGGAGGCACCAATGGTACCATGGAACAATCCACAGTTTTTACCTGGTTGGAGACTGCTATACTATGGGCAGTGGTGAAGATTATCAGCACTCTCAGTTGGCCTTCTGCATAGAGAAATTCCAAATTCAAAGGAAACAATGTTAACATGAAATGGAAATCTTTAGAGGATGAAAGGAAATACTACTATGGAAATTGTGTCATAAGCTTAAGGACTAAACAAAAAGCTTTTTCCTTTTCTCTAATCCTCACTAATTCATAACTTATAATAGGTAACAACTTACATGTGACTTAATATTTTTGCATTACATATTTATAATCCTTTAGAGCTTGTAAATAGGAATCATAAGTAATAATGTGTAATGAGCCCAAGTACTGATGGTGCTCATAGAATGAGTTTGGAAGGGTTCCTTCCTTTTCTATTTCATGTAATACTTTGAGGAGTATTGGCTTTAATTTTTCTTTGAATGTCTCATGGAACTCGGCTGAGAATCTGTCTGGTCCTGGGCTTTCTTGGTTGGCTTTTGATGGTGTTTTCTATTTCATTACTTAAAATTGATCTGTTTAAATCATGTATGACCTCCTAATTCAGTTTGAGTAGGTCATATGCCACTGCAAATTTGTCAATGTCTTTGATATTTTCTATTTTATTGGAGTATAAATTTTCAAAATAGTTTCTAATTATCTTCTGTATTTTAGATGTGACATTGTGATATTTCCTTTTTCATCACGTATTTTAGTAATTTGAATTTCTCTTTTTCTTTTTGTTAGCATGGCTTGTCTATTTTGTTTATTTTTTCAAAGAACCAACTTTTGGTTTGGTCAATTTTTTCAGCTGTTCCTTTGTTTCAATAACATTGATTTCAGCTCTGATTTTAATTATTTCTTTTCTTCTACTGCTTTTGGTGTTGATTTGTTCTTTTTCTAGGACTTTGAGATGTGATGTTAAATCATTTATTTGTTGATTTTTTATTCTGTTAATGAATGAGCTCAATGCAATAAACTTTCCTCTTAGTAGTGCCTTCATAGTGTCCCAGAGATTTTGATATGTTGGTAATGTCTCTTGAATATACATATCACCAATGGAAGAGAATAGAAAGTGAAAAAAAAAAGACTATGTAGGAAGTATGGAAGGTAAAGATGGACTTTTAAATAGGAAGAGACAACTACATGGCCACTTAGAAAAAGATCAAATCAGAACTAGCCTTTACATCGTTCACTAATAACAACAACAACAAAAGATTTGAAGTGTAAAGATATAAAACACATTTTTAAAAATAAGCGTTTTTTTAATGAACTTATAGGAGAGGGCCTTTCTGTGAGTCAAATCTATTTTGAAATGTCTCTTGATCTCAACTCAATCAGTTACAACAAAATCTCTTGATCCTTTCAAAGCAATATTTTAACAAATTACATCCCCTTCCTGTTTTCAAAATTATGAAATATGGCACATTCAGAGGAGTGCATCAAATATAAAGCATATAAATAATATAAATTACAAAACCACACCCTAGACATAAATTCACCATTGCTAAAACCTCAAAGGAGTGTATTAACAACCTCTGACAGCCCTGCTGGAGACAACCAATATCACAACTTTTGAATTCCTGCTGGATTTTATCATATACATTTGATGTCTGAAATAAGATAATTTAGTTTGACTCCTTCCATATGAATCTGATTTTGTTGGTGAGATTTCCACAGAAGATTTCTCCAATAAAGCAGAAGGAGTCCTTTAAAATTACATGTTAAGTCTCTAGCAAGAGCTATAATAGAGAGAGAGGAAGAGAACTGATGCCTGACCAACCATGTATTTGGTTTCCCAGATTCACAGTTGGAGAGGAATTTCTACCCAGGATGAATCACACCTGCAATCTTACTCCCTCCCACCTGGTTTAGATGATATTCAGATGATATTTTGGATTTTGAGTTGATGCTAGGATGCATTAATACTTTGGGGAATGTTGGGATGGGACGAATGTATTTTGCATGTGAGAAGGACATGAGCTTTGGGGACCCAAAGGGAGAACGGTAGAATTCTTTTTTTTTTGACAGTACTAGCAAGCTAATGTGACAAGGAAGCTTGTTTGCCATAACTCATTGAATTTTTTTCTCATTATATGATGATGAGAAAGTTTTCATATGATGCAATTCAAAATGTTACCAGAAGTCTCCTGTTATTGTTTTGATTTTCTATTGACAATAATATTAAGAAAATAGCTGATATTAGACTAGAGTCCTAGAATCCAGCACAATCACTAATATTGTAAAGGAAGCCTAAGTGAAATCCCTGAGCTCCCCTTGCTCTTTGTGAAATTTATCTATCTTGGTGACATAGGGGTTGTTTTAGGGTTATGGAATCTTCAAAAGCTAAGAATAGGATGATGCTCATGATTATGGCAATGATAAGATACATGATAGTAACATGAGCCCACATCCATGAATTCATGTTTTGTGTTTGTGAACAGAATTTCTTTATTTTATCTATAAGGCTGAAAGGTGAGGATGCAAAGAGCAAAGTTCATATGTTACTGAAAAGAGAGTGGGCATTTTTAAACATGATTGTATTTACTCACTGGAAAATATGTATTGGACTGTGTGCCAGACCCTGGTGAAGGCATTGAGGATACAGTGATTAGCAGAAGAACAGCCATGGTTCTTCAGTTGTAGTAGTTTACAAGTAAGATATTAATAAACGTAAAATTTCAATTTCTGCTAAGCATTGCAAGTGAACAATTCAAGGTGTTATGAGTAAGTATAGAAAGGAGACCCAATTAAGATTAGTTGGTCAGAAATATTTCCCTGAGGAAAAGAGACTTATGGTGAATTTTTAATGAGTACAATGTGTTCAGGAAAGAAATGAGGAAAACAAGTTCCAGGCATGGTTGGTCAGGATGAAAGTCCATGTGGTGAAAAATAGACTGGATATATATGGAAAGGGACAAGTAAGATAGTTCTAACCATAGAATGGTATAAAACAGGAAGCTTTAATCTATTGAGCAAAAAAAGTGACAAGACACAGTTTTTGTTTTTAAGTCATCATGTTTATTGCATGGAGGTGAGTTAAAGACACTCAGATGTGATTATAAGTTATGATAGCCCTGGCAATGGGCCCAATCTGCAAGCTGTTTTTGGAAGCTCAGTGCCACATGCTTGTAAAATAGCAGCAAAATAGGGCTATGTTGGAAGTCTGATGTGTGTTGTTTCTCCCTTCCTCCCTCCACGTTGCATACACTTTCAGAAATTCTGTTTTAAAATGACCTAGCAGAAGTGTTTTTCCAGCCGGGAAAATGACCTCTTGATTAATTGCAGGCCTATTTGAAATGGCTTTTCCTGGAATGCAATTCAGATTGAAACAGAAAGCAACAAAGAATTATTTGTGTAACTGGCCAGTTCTGGAAAATGATTTGGTCTTCTCTTGTAGCAAAACAAGAACTTAAAAAAAAAAAAAATCTAAGCAGACCTCATCAGAATTAGGTATCAGAATATTGAGGTCAGATCAAGTTTTTCAAAATGAGCTTAGGAGAGTCTCTTACTCACTGGTAAATATATATTGAACTGTGTGGCAGACCCTGGTGAAGGCATTAAGGATACAGTGATTAACAGAACAGCCATGGTTCTTGGATTTTAGTAGTTTACAAGTAAGATATTAATAAATGTTGAAGGACTACCGAACTACTATTCTTATGGTGCCTCTGCAAACCCTCCTCAGAGACCACCCTCTTCCCATTAGGACCATTTGAATATTGCAGGCCAAAAAATTTCATGGCATGTGTAGCACTGCTTCTTGGAAACTTCACCCAAGCCCAGAATGCTCCTATTTTAACTTTAGTAGTTTGGCACTGTCCTCCTGTGGTTCATTTTGTTATACAGCTTTTCAAATAAGTGAGTCTGTTCTCTACATCTCTCACTGGGCACACAGCCTCCTGCCCTCTAGTAGCAGATAGGCTACTGAGATACCATATTATAAAAGATAAAACAGGGTTATTATTTTTACACTTGACCCTAAAATTCTTGATATAAGGGAAATACTTATCTCTATAAAACCCTGACATGCCCTTGAAACAAAGGTAGCAAATATAGAGTGATGATTATTAGAAGAAACCAACCAGCAAAAAAATAAATTTATGCCATATATTTTTGAAAGAAAAATTTTATTTTTGGGCTGGCGATCTGGCTCAAGTGGTAACGCGCTTGCCAGGCATGCGTGCGGCCCGGGTTCGATCCTCAGCACCACATACAAACAAAGATGTTGTGTCCACCAAAAACTAAAAAATAAATATTAAAAAATTCTCTCTCTCTCTCTCTCTTTAAAAAAAAATTTATTTGCTTTTTTTTTTCTTGGCACAGGGATTGAACCCAGGAGCACTTAACCACTGAGCCACATCCCCAGCCCTTTTATTTTATTTTTAATTTAAAAATTTTTTCCTATTTTTAAATTTGTTGTAATTAATTATACACAGTAGAATGAATTTTGATACAGTATATGAAATTGGAGTATAAATTCTCATTCTTCTAGTTGTACATGATGTAGAGTTACACTGATTGTGTAGTCATATATACACATAGGTAACAATGTCTCTTTCATTCTATTGTCCTTTCTACCCCCATACCCACTTCCCTCTCTTCACTCCTGTCTATCTAATCCAAAGTACCTATATTTTTCCCTAGGCTCCCCATGACCACCCTTTTTGTGAATTAGCATCTGCATATCAGAGAAAACATTTGGCCTTTGGTGTTGAGAGCCACAGCCGAAGGGGCCCCAGCAAACTTCCAGCTGCCAGCAAACTTCCAGCCGCCAGCTGATGATTAGCTCACAGTGGCCCCAGCAAAATTCTAGCTGCCAACTGATTGGCTCCTCTGCGGTGATGCTCATTGGGCTGTTTCCCCACCCTTTCAGACCACGAAGCTGCTCATTGGGGGACTTTTTTTGGCTCCGCCCATGCGAACCAGCCAATCGGCCTCAAGAGCAGGAGGAGTGTGGGAGGTGGAGAGGCTTGTGGGAAGCCGGTGGTGACAGTTGGGCTCTGAAGGTTTTTCCTGAGGAGCTGTGTTGTTTGGTGTGTGTGTTCTAAAAATAAAGTTCGTTTCTTTTGACAAGTGGCTCCTGAATTGTGCCCAGCAAGACTGTGGCATTTGGTGGGCCGCAAGGGGAACAACTGAGGGTAAGTGATAAGGTAAACTGCTCGCCCCTGAGGGCAGGGCGAGAGGATGGGTAGCCATTTTAAGATTCTTCTTTTGTTTTGTTTCACTTTTGTTTTAAGTTGACTGTCCCTGGAGATGAGTGAGATGGAAGAAAAACCGCTCACATCTGAGGAAAAACTATTTGCATCTGAGGAACAGATAAGGAGAAAGGATAGATGGACATTTCAGGAGGATAGAAAGGCTGATATAATGATTTTGTGTGGTTCCATTTTTATTTCATTCTGTCTCAGTTTTGTTTGGCGTCATCTTGTTGGGTT